AGCTGCCCAGAGGCCAGGAGCAGCTGGGGTGATGCAGAACACCTGCGTCATCACCATGGCAACAACGCAAGCATCCCACCCTGTCCCCAGCCACTGGGCATCTGTGTATGCAAATTAACCTGCCATATTTGTTGAGTTAATTTGCATACTCATTCCTGATTGGCTGGTGGACATTGCAAAGTTACAGTCAATTAGCATGCTACTGTTTTATTAGGTAGATTTGTTGTTGTTTTTTTTATAATACAGGTAGATGAGGGGAAAAAAAGTGAATATTGCTTTAATTATTTCCCTCTCTGGATAATTGAGAGGCAGTTTCAGAGGCCCTAGTTACGACCTATTGCCCAAACATAGCTCTACCTTTTATCTAATAGTCAATGTTAAATGCTTGAAGTCCTCTAGTTTTCAAAAGTGATGAAAATGAAAATACCTCTGAGAGAGGCAGCACACTAATTCCTTTCAGTCATTTTCACGATAGTGTGAGTTTAGAAACATCATTTCTGGCAGGAGGCTTTTCTATGAAAGTAAGGACCTTAGTTGAGAAAAGGAGCCAGTGAGGTATCATAAACACTGTCCCATTTTCCTAAGCTCCAACTTTCATACATAATCCAAAGGCCACATTCAAATTTACAAGTCCTTGTGCTTTCCTCTTATTCATTTTTATGTTTTAGGCAATAGCAGAGAGAAGTAAGAAAGGTCAGAGAAAAAGAGGAAGGAAAGGAGGGAGACACTGAGTGGCTGCAAATATAACACTGGAAGCCCCTCTGACTGGCAAGTTAGCGGATTCTCAACAAGACCAGTTCATGTTCCCCTTCTGAGCCTTTCTCTCTGCCTGTTTTCAGTCTGCCCCCTTTCTATGCCCCAGGAAATACTAGAAGGGAGAATGAAGGAATTTGATCTATTTTAAAACTCACAGCTGTTGAACACTAATCCTCAAAACATTCACAACCACTTTGATTTGGGACAAATGATTAGCCAGTTTGTAACAAATGAAAGATATATTCAGAAGTTCCAGACAGTGGTGTCTCAAAGAGCAGACGATAGTTAATTCATCTCTGAGCCAATGTCGGTACCCTGTATCTCAGCAATTTGAGAGATGGGATCTCCTCAGACCGCCTTTTTAATTCCCTTTCTCTTAAGGAACAAAACGAAAGGAAGGTAAGAAGTATCCCCTTTCACTGCTGCAGTGCTGTTGGGACAGCCAGGACCTCTCCAGAAACCAGCCCTTTAATTACCAGGCTCTATTTCCATGTGAAAGTGAATTCAAGGCAGGGAACGGAGTGGGGGGATGGACAGACTGCCTTGCAGAGCACCTGGGTGATAAAACAGAGTGGATCAAACAGATTTGTAAAGGGGTCACTTAGATCCAAAGTGTGTAATCTGGGTAGGAGCAGGGGACAGGGAAAGGACAAAATGTCCTGTGTCTTTCCCATCAGCCAGGCCTACCTTGCCCCGTGTATGCACGTTTCCTGAATTAATGGCTCCAGATCACACAGCTAGGAGGTGGAAGAACTGGAACTGAAACACAGAGTGTGACATCAAAGCTCTTCACCCTCTCCTACATCAGAGCACTGTGTGAGGGAGCTGCAAGAGAAACTGAAAGTTGTGTTGTTTTTCTTCTCTAAAGAAGGTAACCAAAAACTTGTTGAATACTTCTGAAAAAGAGTGAGAGTTTAATTTAATAACAATATATTGATATCTCCTCCATGGCAGACACTGTGCGGGGCTGAAGAATGTAGGTGAATAAGACATAACCTTTCCCTTCAAAGAGAGGGCGGCAGACAAGTGCATTTCTAACAGTAAGAACAGTGACTGACTTTCCAGATCTCAAAAGATCTCAGATACGGTTAAATGGTCATGTAACAGTATTGAACCTCAAGGCATCTAACAGAAGTGTGAAGAGAGCATGAAGAGAACGAATATTTGCAATGTGTGTGTGGCAGGGGTACGGGGGTGAGGTATGTTATAAATGAAGAAAATATGGCTCTATTGTGTTTCATGACTGCCTAAGACAGAGGTTGTGGGTGAAATGGTTGGGATTCTACTCCACTTTATTTGACTCGAAGGCCCATAGTCTTTCCATGTTCCACAGAGATGGGAGCAAGCGTTAGAAACAAGTTCTCACTCTCAGGCAAGACTAGAAGAAACATATCTTTCAACCTCTGCTCTTCCTTTCTGAAACCTGCTAAGATCTGTAGAGGTGTGTTGATAAGCTACTTTAATCTTTCTTGGAAAGAAGTGGCATAAAATATTTAATCATTTATTAAAAGGCAACAGAAAACACTTCCTGTGAGCTGAGCTTGGGTTTATGAAGAAGCTCTTTAAGAGGTAATCTTATTCTCAACACTACCTCCAGGCAATTTCTTTAGGAAATGTGACTGAATTCTAAAAGATTAAATTGTGTATATAAAGTAGATATTTGAGAATCATTTTTCTGAAGAGTAGCTCCTTTTTCATCTTTAGTGGGGGCTTTACTGGCTTAATAATGAAAGTGACTCACCCTGAGAGCTAATATTTTTTTTAATCTTTATTTTTCTGATCATTACAGATGCTCCTCTTCTGCCCCCCCCCACCCCCATATCTCCCCTCCACCTGATTCCCACCCCCTCCAGGCCTTCCTCACTCCACCACCACCACCCACTGACTTTGTCCATGGGTGTAAGCTCTGTTCAATTTCTTTCCGCACGCCCCACGACCCCTTCCCCCTGAGAATAGTCAGTCTGCTCACTTTCCATGCCACTAATTCTATTACATTCACCAGTTTGTTTCTGTTCATCAGATTTTTTTATTCATTTTATTTTTAGATTCACTTGTTGCTAGATATGTATCTGTTGTCACTTTGTTGTTCATAATTTTTTTATCTTCACCTTTTTCTTCTTCCTATTCTTAGAGAATACAATTCAGCACTTCATATAATCCTGGTTTGGTGGTGATGAACTCCTTTAGCTTTTTCTTGTCTGTGAAGCTATTTATCTGATCTTCAATTCTAAATGAGAGTTTTGCTGGGTAGAATAATCTTTGTTGTAGGTTCTTGCTATTCATCACTTTGAATATTTCTTGCCACTCCTTCCTGGCTTGCAGACTTTCTGTTGAGAAATCAGCTGACAGTCATATGGGTACTCCCTTGTAGGTAACTCATTGTTTTTCTCTTGCTGCTTTTAAGATTCTCTTTGTCCTTTGCCCCTGGCATTTTAATTATGATGTGTCTTGGTGTGGTCCTCTTTGGATTCCTCTATTTGGGAGTTCTGTGTGTTTCCTGGACTTGTAAGTCTATTTCTTTCACCATGTAGTGGAAGTTTTCTCTCATTATTTCTTCAAATAGATTTTCAATATCTTGCTCTCTCTCTCTCTTCTTCCGGCACCCCCATAATTCGGATGTAGGTATACTTGAAGCTGTACCAACATCCTTACACTATCTTCATACTTATGGATTCTTTTTTCAATTTGCTCTTCTGGTTGGGTGTTTTTCGCTTCCCCATATTTTAAATCTTTGACTTAATTCTTGGGATCTCTAGTCTGTTAAATCTCTGTATATTATTCTTTATTTCAGTCAGTGTATGCTTGATTTCTGAATGGCCCTTTTTCATATCCTTGAGTTTTTCACTAAATTTTTCAGAGGTTTCTAGAAGATTCTTGAGTAACCTTATAACCATGGTTTTGAACTCTACATCCAGTATTGTACTTTCCTCCATTTCTTTTATTTGTGACTTGTTTCTTTGTCTATGCATTTTTGGCTGCTTCCCTGTGTTTGTTTTTATGTACTAGTTAGCTGCTAAGTCTCCTTGAGTTGAGAGAGTGGCCTTGTGTGGTAGGTGTCCTATAGGGCCCAGTGGCTCAGCCTCCCCAGTCACCTGAGGTGGATGCTTTTGGTGCAACCGTTAGTGGCCTGTTTGCATAGTCTTGTTGTAGTTAGCCCTTGATTACTATTGGTATTACTGGGAGAATTGACCTCCAGGCCAATTTCTTGTGATGACCAACTGTGTCTACACTGGAAGATCTTTATCTGTTGTGCAGGAAACACCCTTATGGGGCAGGCTTTGGTGCTCACTGAGTCTGTCCCTTGATTGTGTCTCTTATGGATGTGAAGAGTTGTTATTTATTTATTTATTTATTTATTTATATTTTTTTTACAGAGAGGAAGAGAGAGAGATAGAGAGCTAGAAACATTGATGACAGAGAATCATCAATCAGCTGTCTCTTGCACTCCCCCCCCCCTCCACTGGGGATGTACCCGCAACCAATGTACATGTCCTTGACCGGAATGGAACCTGGGACCCTTCAGTCCATAGGCTGACGCTCTATGCACTGAGCCAAACCAGTTTCAGCAGGTCTCCTTATTTTTATTAAATGCTGAACATTGTGTATGTTACATTGTTGTATATCTGGATTTTATCTTCCTTCAATAAGTGTTAAATTTTTATTTAACAGGCAAATAAGTTGTTTGATTAGTTTGATTTTCCTGAGGCTTATTGTAAGCTTTGTTAGAATGGATCTAACTTGACCATATTGCATTTCTAGTCTTCACTGAAATTCCCAGGTGTTTTACTAGGTACAGTATCTTCATTCTGGCTGGCCAAATTTAAAAGAGAGCTGTGAGACCTAGGAATTGTACAGCTTAAAACTTCTTTGAAGTGTTCGTTTCCTGACCTGAGTGAGTTTTGCTTTTGCACATACAGCTTAGCATTTAGCCAAAGACTCAAGGGAGACCTTCTGAATACATTTCTGGAGTTCTATGTAGCTCCTCTTCTCTGGTATCTCCCCTACACTCTCTAGCAGTATCAGTCTCCCCAAACTCTAACCTCTGTCTTCTCAACTCAGTAGGCCTCCACGTGGATGCAGTCCCAAACTGTCTCCAGATGAAAAGCTGAAATAGTCATAAAGTTCACTACACTTCTTTTCCTTATGTCAGGTATTATACTCCTTTGCTGCCTGTTTTTAATATTTGAAAAGTTTTACCTCACATATTTCATCATGTTTTTTGGTGTGCTTTTTTGGTTACTTACTGTGGGAGATATAGTTCAGGATGATGATGGGTAGAAACCTTCCTTCATGATCTGTGTCAACCTTGACTCCAATTCCCCTTTATCCTGGAGACATAAGGAAAGAACACGATTTTTCCTTTCATTAATCCTTAATCTATCATTGCTATATGAAGATATGTATTTGATGCAAGGACTCTGCAAGCAATTTGATCTGAAGTATTCTAACTGAACCATGATAGGTAAACGTGGGTATAATCACTTATGGAACAGACTGTGTATCCTTAGGAAAGAAAGAAAAACAAAAAGCAAGAGAATGGAAGAGGAAAAAGAACTAAGGAAAGAGAAGTGGAGGAGGGGGAAGACACACACACAAAAAGAACAAATAAGGAAAAGAACAAGGATTTTACAAATGCATGAGTTAAGTTTTCAAAAGAATAAGAACATTTCTGCCTTCAACCTTGTGACTCACCTCAAGTGCTGGGAGCATTGAGGCATGAATTAGAAAAAAGAGGCCAAATTATTTGTTTTTACTCATTGCATTTGTTCTCTTTTGCAAGAAAGGGTATGTTTCTGATAAGAAATTTTTACAATAAGGCAGTGAAAAGTGATAATAATATTTAAAATATTTTAACTTAAAAATTACAAAATGAAGACAATAGATTTTGGCACTGGAGTGAAGGTAGATGTTGACTGCTGGAGACTTCAGTGAGTTACTGTTTCTAAGCATTCTAGCTGTGCTGAATAATAATACAGCTCATGCACTGCAGCCTTTCATTTCCTAGAGCACATTCTGACCTCAGTGAATAATCCACTCTAAAGGGCAATAGGTGTGAAGTTCTTATTTTTTATTTGTATTTCTCATTTCTTCCTTTTGTTCCAAACTTAGCTCTTTAGAAACAAAACTCATATGGTTGCTAGGGTTATCAAAACTGAGGGCCTTTTTCTTTCTGACAAGACAGACAGCTGGAAATCTAATGTGCTCTTGTTGTTTTGTGTTTTTGTTCAGTGGGGAAATGATGTCCTCATGCAGTAAAAAGCCTCAGCAATGGACTAAACAGGCTGGGAATGCAGGACATTTCCTGGGTACATTTTTCTACTATTTTTCAGGATCAACCAAAATCTAAAATTGATTGTTTCCTGTTTCTTCTTTTTTGTTAAATTGGTACATTGAAGCAGACTAGAAGCTAAAGATGTGCAAATATGTCTAAAAGTACCGCTTTTGCAACATGGCCATTGGGAGCAATGTCAGTGATCAAGGAGAGTATATGCATGAGCTTCTGAAAGTAGCTTGTGGATGCTTTCTCTAATTGGAGCCCAGAGAAGAAAAGGCTTCCCCTAAAAGATCATTTCAAGCAAGAATTTCTATTAGCCACAAAACATGAGTTTTCCTGCTCAGTGTTCCATTTTCCATACTGTGAGGGTACACTCATTGATTCTAAACTAAGGGTGGAACTACGAGCAGTTGTGGGAGCCAGTCAGGACCTTTGGGGTGGGAGTGTATTGATCTAATTCTCCAAACAAGGATCACAGGGGTATGCCTATGCCTCCATCAAGTGGGGCTCTATTGAGGAAGGATATCAGTGACCTAGGGAAAACAGAGCACATAGCAGCCACTGTAGTTAGGCTCAGTCCTCCCAAGAGGCTCCTCTGTTCATCCACAGACATTCTGAATTCCAAGCGTTATAGGGAACCAACTCAGATAACCTTGTCAATGTCAGCACCAACAACTAACAATGGATGGAAGGGAAGAGGTGTTACCTTTAGATGGGGAAACATATGAAGAAAAAAACCAACATGGCCAGTGCATTTAAGTATATATAATTGAGAGAGAGAGAGAGAGAGAGAGAGAGAGAGAGAGAGAGAGAGAGAGAGAGAGACTGGTAAGCACGCACTGAAAAGGCAGCACTGGTAGACTGAGAAAGGACCTCAAAAGTCATTGACCCAACTACTTCAGACATCAAAGAGTAAAAATGAAGTTAAGAAAAGTGTTATGGGAGGAGAACTAAGATGGTGGCATACGTAAACACCTGTACTTGCTGACTTTCACAACCACATCAAATCTACAAATAAAAGACAAAATAACTATCATCCTGAACCATAGGAAAGCTGGCTGACTGGAAGTTCTTCAACTAGAAGGAAAGAACGAATTGCATTAAGATTGGTAGGAGGTACAGATGTGCTGAAGCACACACAGAATGGGCTGGAAACTGGGTGTGCTCTTTTTTGTTTTGTTTTGTTTTTTTCAATCAGGAGGAAGATACAAGCTCCTGATTGTTCTGAACTCCAAATCCGGGTGAGACTTTGGGGACCCAGACTCCTATGGGGAGAGACTGGACTGCCTGGTATTGGGCTAGAACTTGAGGGCAGCTTTCTTTCAGAGGTGCTCACAGCAATCATTGTTCCTGTGCGGGGGCATAGATGTGGAGATGTGGGGATCTCTCCAATGCATGGCTGACTGGCAGCCATTGCTGTTTGCTCTGCCCTGGTGATTCCCTGAGACCCAAGCAATTTACAACCCCACCCAAGCTGTGATCAGCATCTTTTGCATATGAATGGTCTGTCCTTTCTCAGCCTAAAACCTGTTAAAAAGGCAGCAGCTGGGTCAGAGATCCCCAAAGCGTCTAAAAGAAGGCCCAACTCCCAGCAGTAGCAGCCTGCATTGCTTCACATCTGAGCCTCATTTGGGCACTTTCAAATCCTATTCAAAGAGGATGAATCTGCAGATCTTTCTGTAGTTCCTGCTGGCTGACCCCGGGCAGTGGCTGACTTTATACCTCCTGGGACTTCCAAGAGCCAGTGTACCCAGTGGTCAGTGTGAAACCATACCAAATTACAATTCTTCACATTCATAAGCAACACACTCAAGGGGAAGACTCAATGAATATCAAAGCCCCACTGAAGCAAGTCCTGCCCCTAAGGGTATCTCCTACAGAAGTTCTTCCATTGTAGACAGGGCTGGTCCTCACAGCCAAATGGCCTGGAGGTCAATTCCTCCAAGAGATACAAATAGAAACCAAGGCTTAACTACAAGACTGTGCACATAGCCCAAAAGGGGTGCACCAAGAATGTCCATCTCAGGTAATTGGGGAGGCTGAGCTACTGGGCCCTATATAATACCTACCACAAAAGGCCACTCTATCAACACAGGAAAGCAGCCAAAATGCAGAGACAAAGAAACAAGTCACAAATGAAAGAAATGGAGGAAAGCAAAATACTGGATATAGAGTTCAAAACCACAGTTATAAGGTTATTCTAGAAATCTTCAAGGAACTTATAAGACCTTCAAGGATCTTAGTGAGAATGCAAAAAAAAAAAAAAAAGGAAATTAAGCATATTTACAGAGATTTAACAGTAGACTAGAGGATCCCAAGAATCAAGTCAAAGATTTGAAATACGGGAAAGCAAAAAACACCCAACCAGAAGAGCAAAAAGAAAAAAAGAATCCATAAGTATGAAGATAGTGTAAGGATGTTGGTACAGCTTCAAGTATACCTACATCCGAATTATGGGGGTGCCAGAAGAAGAGAGAGAGAGAGAGCAAGATATTGAAAATCTATTTGAAGAAATAATGAGAGAAAACTTCCACTACATGGTGAAAGAAATAGACTTACAAGTCCAGGAAGCACACAGAACCCCAAACAAAAGGAATCCAAAGAGGACCACACCAAGACACATCATAATTAAAATGCCAGGGGCAAAAGACAAAGAGAGAATCTTAAAAGCAGCAAGAGAAAAACAATGAGTTACCTACAAGGGAGTACCTATACAACTGTCAGTTGATTTATCAACAGAAACTCTGCAAGCCAGGAAGGAGTAGCAAGAAATATTCAAAGTGATGAATAGAAAAAACCTACAACAAAGATTACCCAGCAAAGCTCTCATTTAGAATTGAAGTTCAGATAAATAGCTTCACAGACAAGAAAAAGCTAAAGGAGTTCATCACCACCAAACCAGGATTATATGAAATGCTGAAGGGTATTGTTTAAGAAGAGAAAGAAGAAAAATGTAAAGATAAAAAATATATAGCCATAACCAGTTTGGCTCAGTGGATAGAGCGTCAGTCTGCAGACTGAAAGGTCCCTGGTTTGATTCTGGTCAAGGGCACGTACCTTGGTTGTGGACACATCCTCATTAGGGGTTGTGCAGGAAGCAGTTGATCGATGTTTCTAACTCTCTATCCCTCTCCCTTCCTCTCTGTAAAAATCAATACAATATATTTTATTTAAAAAAATTATGAACAACAACGTGACAACAGATACATATCTATCAACAAGTAAACCTAAAAATAAAATGAATAAAAAATCTGATGAATAGAATAAACTGGTTAATGTAATAGAATCAGAAGCCATTGGGAGTAGACTGACAATTCTCAGGGGGAAAGGGGTGTGGGGGTGGGTGGGAAGAGACCAGACAAAAATATTCACCTATGGACGAGGACACTAGGGGGGCGAGGGCATAGGGTGGAGTGGTAACCAGGTGGAGGGGAGTTATGGGGGGTTAGAGGGGGAAAGAGGATGATCTTTAATAATCTGAACAATAAAGATTTTTTTAAGTGATATGTGTTGAATTTTGTTCCTCCAAAATTCATGTGTTGAAATCATAACCCTCAATATCTCAGAATTGGTGTCCATATAGTAAAAGAGTTTAGGACACACAGAAACACCTTATAGATATGTGCACACTGTAGAAAGTTAGCAGGAGGACACAGCAAGAAGGCAGTCATCTGAAAGCCAAGGAGAGAGGCTGCAGACAAAACCAACTCCGCCTATATCTTGATCTTGGCCTTCTAACCTCCAAATGAGAAAATACATTGCTGTTGTGTAAACCACTTAGTCTATGGTATTTTGTTATGGTAGTCAAACTAATGCAAAAAATAAAGGAATTTGCCCAAATTGACATAAGAATTTGGGGCCAATCTTTAGGGACTGAGATCTTCTCATTTAACCATGGAGTTGTCTTACACACATGTACACATGTATATATATAATAGGGGAATCAGTCTTTAAGAGGGTCTTTTCTGTAGAGACCTATGAAGGCACAGAAAACTTGTGTAGTTAAACACTACTTAAGATGGTCATAAGAAGCCTAGTTCTGGAGACTCAAATTAGAAGTAGAATGGGTAGTGAACACTAAATCTGGTCTCCTGGGACTCAGATACTACCTAAAGGGTCATGTGTGAGAGCTCAGCAAAGGGGAAGCC